ATATATAAAAGACTGTTTTTCTAAGTAATCTAGAATCTATCTGCAAGGACCCGCTTCGCTGGGCAAAAAGTAACGATAGTAAAGATTAAGATAATTACATTATAGCGAATCTTACCCGTTTTCACAGAATGCAAGAATTAGGTTCCCCGTTTCCAGACTAATTAGAGAATTTTTACATGAGTCTAAAAATATGTTCGATTTCCCGCAAAAGAAAAAAAAACAGCCTGTAAATCTTGCATGCCGCTTTATATTAACACTTCCTTTGTTACTCAACACTTCCATTGTTAACACTTCCACTGTTAACACTTCTATTGTTACACATCTTCGAAGTCTACCACTTTAAGCCCCCATATCTCCTGCACCCTTATAGATATCGAGACGCAACCACCATAGAGCACGAATGGAAACTTGGGGCTACTCCCACATACAAACACCATTCATGTGCGATGTGTAGTTTTGGCTGAAAAGTGAAATATAGGAACACACAGGTCCATTTTTATATATAGATATAGATATATATAAGAATATAAAAATTTTGTGAGAACATATGTATTTATACATATCAATAAATACATAGATTTAGTATATTTCTCTTTATCCGAATTAGTAAACATGGTAGACTTTCTCTAAGCTATAAGGTTGGGTACTCCTTTATTGCAAATCACAAATGCATTTCGGGCCTATATGAGCCCCTCTTCAGTGTAAACGCTTCACATAGAAAGCATAAAAAGTAAAAAATTAATTGATTTACAAATTTTTCACGCGAAGATGATTTTTATAGACAAATAAAGTAGTTTTACATACCTCAGAAGACAGAGTAACGCTTTTCTAATTGTATGACACACACAATGATGTTTTCGGCGTGTACTCCTCCCTCAAAAAGCACTTAAAATAATTGATGTCATGTTCTAATCTGTCCAATTTCATTATAAGGGTTACCAACCTGTTCTTTTTATCCATTTTATTTTCAAATAGTTCTTCTCAAGCATATACTAAATCTACGTATTCATCAGCTACCACACCTAAAACATCTACATCTATATTTCTTGTACGTGATATAGCTTAATAATTGCCTTCAGAGAATGTGTCCATGATACACAATTTAGAGAAAATTTCGTTTCTTCATATATTGAGCTAATCTAAAAAATTCTGCAAAAAGATACGTCTTTTGTCTGTCCTTTCTACTGTCATTGGCTTTCTGTATACATTTTCAAGGCAAATTCCTTTGTAGGGTGTCTCTGCTTTGACAATTTCTAACCAGCCATTTATAATATTAATTGTCATCAGTTTTTACCAGAAGCAATAAATTTTATACGATGCATACTTTTACATCGTCATATTTTTTACAACAAACATTTTTTATATTTATAACTTTTATCAATTAACCATTATACATCAATGTTTTGTTTATGGTGTATTTGTTGTATTGTAAATTATTGCTGGTCTCTTTGTTAATATAATCGCACGTTCTCGTGATGCGGCCCAAAGTTTTGAAGAAAGTGTAGATCTACAAAGATAATTGTTTTTATTTACGTGTGCTAAACACAATACGATAAGAGTCAAAAAAGTATATATTTTTCGTATAATGTTAGGTTTGTTGTGTGTCGTATTTTACGGCATGTAAGATGCTAGTGTTTTTTTTTTTTTAACAAGGGGCTATGTATGAAGGCGCGGTCTTTGATAGCGAAATGAATGCCCCAAATGGCTTTTATTAAGCTACACTATCTTAGACTTACTCTGGAATAAAAATCTTATTATTTGATTAAAAATGATATTTTATTGGTTTCCCTACAACTAACCATTTTTTATATGCATTCAGGAATGGCAAATTTTAACTGTAAAAAGTATATAATTTTAAACTTATCTTTTCCTCTAATAAATAAAAGGGTGCATACCAAGTCTACAGTTTTACTTTTTTCATACAGAATACAAAGGAAACATCCTGTTCTGAATGCCGAAATTCTAGAATAAATAAATACTTTATCGTTAATGTTAACTGCTAAAATGAAGTTTCCTATTAAATCGTGTATAATATGATATATAACATTTCAAAATGCTATTTTCCTTCGCATTACAACAAATAAAAATCAACTATTCCTTGCATATAAACATTATAAAGTATTATTATTACAACACACTTCGTTTATTCTTTTCCCTTCTTTGGTAAACTGTTATATATTATAGATAATATTATACAATAGTCATTTCGTTTTCTGATTGGTAATAACAAAATAAAAATGTTATATTATTGTTACTTTTTATGTAGGATCTTGATTCATCTTTAAATCCTACAGCTTTAATCAGGAACACCATGGCTACAACGACAGAAAACAGAAACGGATCAATTAAAGTTGAGGTAAGAATTATATTTATTATTTCATATCACTGCTTTGAGGACATTACAAATTTTAGCTGAACACACATACTGATAGCCTCACTACTAACTAATGGTGCTCGCTGTATCAGTTTTCTCATCGAATATGCGTGTTATATCTATATGCAAGTCCTGAGGCCATCGGAGATTAGTTTCGCATTTTACACACACGCTTGGTAGAGAGAATAAAAACTACAACTTGCGATTTTTCTATAGAGCGAATCTAATTTATAACATTTTACGATCTACATTCGTAAAAATGTTTTTGCTGCTTTTTCATTAAAGAAAATTTGAAAGTGACTAACAATGAAAATACGCGTGCAACCTTTATGAAAAATTACAGTACAGTTTGATGGTCTAATAAATTACAATACTTAATAGTGGATCTTTTATTTACCTAACGTATACTCGAATTATTTCGTACCAATCTTTATAAAACGTTAATCAATCGAAATAAGTATATAAAATAAACTTTTATGTAATGGGATATATTCTGTATCTCTTTCTGCACCATTTTTCATTTATTTTCGGCAGTTATATTTTTAATTTTTAACAAAATAACTAACAAGTAAAACTTTTTATTCGTCATATGAAAACGTGAGAAGAGTGTCGATATATTTATTGTTGTTAATACTTTCCCATGATATAGGCTATATAACAACGGGAAAGTAACACAATTATGTTAATTCCTCGTTTAGAGTCATTAGAATGGATATATTCAATCTGTAGAAATACACTTTAAATGTTAACAGTTATGTAAATGTATTTGCAGGTGAATAAATTCTTATGATTTTCGAAGTATTCTAAAAATATTCTTACAATTGTAGTTAGTATATTGTTGCAAGAAGAGTCTTCTTTATCTTCGTCTTTTCCCATGTTTATATGAGGTCGGCGTTTCCTTCTCTAATACGTTTCCTCCATTTCTCTCTATCAATTGCTCCTCTCTTAAGTCCTTTCTGATTTAAGTCTTCCTCCACCTTATCTTTCTTGGTCTTTCTCTTTTCCTCTTTCATTTTACTATCATTTTTCCGACCGTCTCTTATCTCTACGTGGTCAAACCGCCTCAACTTATATTCTTGCACATTTTTGATCAAGGAGCCCACCTTAACAGAACCTGTAATAAAATCCTTTTTTATTCTATCCTTCTATGACACTCCACACATTCATCTCATCATTCTCATCACCGCCACCCCCATTTTTTGGGGTCTTATGATTGCCCGTTTCTCAGCCCCATATAACATTGCAGGTCTAACAACCGATTTGTACAATTTACCTTTCAGCTTGCTGCTAACTTTCTTGTCACATAACACACCGCTCAGCTTCCTCCAGTTCATCCATTCATATTGAGTTCTATGCTGAACTTTCGAGTTTAATTTCCCTCATCTCGATAAAGGCTACAAGAAACTTAAAACTCGGAACCGAATATAGCGGCACATTTTGATTTTACAATTGCACTCGTCCCTGCCATTTAGAATCGTGTATGATGTTTTAGTTCTGCTAATCCTCATGCTCCTTTCTTCCAAAACTTTTTTCCAATCTTCGCAGTTTCTTTTCAGCCTTGTTTTGGAAAGGTTCACACAGCACAATATTTAAAAGGAATTCTACATTCGAACTCGAAGTCTACACAGCATGTAGTCTATACCGTGATACTGCGGACTCAATATGGCGACTGCCGCGATGCATCACGGTATCGTGTCTTGACTTTATGTTTATATGTTGTGTATTATAATTAAAATCATAAAAGTTATTTTATAAATAAGTTCTCATAATAGCCGGAATAGTTATGCAACCGTTGCTGGATTGTTTTGATAGGAAACGGCGAAAAAATTTCAAGACTTTACAGACATTATCGGTACATTTGGAAGATGGCACAAAATTTTAATCGGAGTAATGGCGTGGTCTGTCATTGGTCCAGCATTAAACAATTTAAATTGGCCCTTCTTGGCGTACAAGGTGGATTATTGGTGCGCGAGAACACCGAAATACATTAACTTGTCTGTGGAAGAGTGGAAAAATATCAGCGCACCCCTGGACATCAGAAACGGCAGAACAACCCATAGTCGATGTGAAGTATATGATATTGATGATACGAAATATGGAAAGAACTTTTCAAAGATTCCTTGTCGCTCGTGGGAATACGATCATTCACAATATAAAAACAGTGTCATTGAAAAGGTAACAATGAAAATTTTTCAATTAAATATGTATTCAAATGTTGATTTTATTTGAAATTTTCAGTGGAATTTAGTTTGCGAAAGTTCTTGGTTGAGTTCTCTAGCTGGCTCTTCTTACTTCGTAGGATTTCTCGTGTCTGCTATTATATCTGGTCAGATATCCGATAGGTATGAAAACCTGCCATTTTTATTTTATTGAAATGTTATACTGTAATTTTATAACAGCATATTAATTATATCGATATTTACGTAGATATGGCAGAAGACCGGTGATAATATGGAGTCTCGTGCTTCATATAACCTTTGGAATTCTTTGTTCATTTTCTCCATACTACTGGATGTTTACTGTATCTCGTTTCTTCTTGTCTGCAGGAATCACAGCATGTAATCTGACGTTCTATGTATATGGTAAGTCGTATATTGAATTCATACACTGAATAAAATAACAACGTACAGTACTTTGGCAATGTTTACATATAGACTGCAATACAGTACAGACTAAATTTCCTAAATGTTTACAGTAAAAACCTAAAAATAACAATCATAGTAACGTACTCAGTGCATTTTAATTTCTTATAATTACGAAAAAATTACAGAACGCTATTAATTAATACACATGTATGCATTAAAGAATAGTTGGATTGCTTGTATCAGAATACATGAATATGAAAGTTTTCTGACTTCAATACGAGGAAATCTCATATTTTCGAAGAAGTATGTAAAGTCAACTTTATGAGGATCTTGCTTAATATATTATATTAAGTTCATGTCATTCAACTGAAACATGGGTATTTAATGCAGATTTCCCATTAAGTGAATACGCACTTACTATGAACAAATCATATGCAAATCTCAGTGTGAATATTTACATTTAAGTTGAAATTTCAGACTCAAAGTTTTTTGTAAATATAACATTAACAATACTAAATTGTCTTTGTGTATAGTTATGGAAGTGGTCGGACCAACCTACAGAGAAAAGGTAATAGTAATTCAGTCTTTTCTTTATACCACGGGGACGCTTCTACTTACCGGAGTATCTTGGTTCCTCAAAGATTGGACTTATATTCAATTATGCGGCATTTTGCCATCTATTATAATACTCCTGCTCATCAGGTAATGTTCATTTAATATTTTAATTGTTTTTATACGTTATGAAAATATGTTTTGGATTAGTTATATACCGGAGTCTCCGAGATGGCTGCTGACTCACGGTCGACTACGTAAAGCCGAAGACGTTATACGAAACATAATGGAAAAGAATAAAAGACACGCCGACGAGTTATCCGAAGTTATTGAAGAACTTTATTGGAAAATTAGAACGGTAAATTGATTTTAATAATACATAACTTGACTTTTATATTTTGATTCAAAAGGACTGTTGAATTTAAAAAATAAAATCAGTTTGTATTTGGAAATGGAACAGAAAATGGGACGTAAAGAATAGTGGAGGAGGTTAAAATAGAATATAGACATTTCTAATACGTTTTTGTCTGCTGTACAAATTAAATGGAAACTGTATCTGAGGGCTTTAATGGGCTTAATTGAGAACTTTACGGCAGGATTTTAATGGTGCGATTTCAAATTACTAAAATGGAACTTATGCTTGGTTATTAATTAATTAAAAACTCAGAGTTATACAATGTGAAAATCGTTTCCGTTTATCTCCCGTCTTTTAATAAAATAGGAATGTTAATCTCAATATCCGGCGTGGTAGCTGATGAATACGTAAATTTAGTATATGTCTCTTTAATCCGAATTAGTAAAACGTTAGTCTTTCTCTCAGCTATAAGGTTAGGTACTTCTTTGTTGCGAATCACAAATGCATTTTGGGCCTATATGAGCCCCTCTTCAGTGTAAATGCTACACATATAAAGCATAAAAAGCAATAAATTAATTAATTTACAAATTTTTCACGCGAAGATGATTTTTACAGACAATAAATAATTTTTTTTACATACCTCAGCAGACAAAGCAACGCTTTTCTAATTGTACGACTCTCACAATAATATTTTATATAATCCAAAAAAAACACAAGAATGTGTATTGAATGACACTATTACACAGGTACAATTAAAATCCTTAAAACAGTAAATATACATTATTACCTTACACATTATTACAATAACAATAACGTAGTATCTTCTTACTTATAATTATACCTGTAAGGTATTTAAAACCATATCGTGTAATTTAAGACGTTATCAGAATACATGCAATTAGAACGACAGGTTTACAAAAACATAGAACAATGATTTAACCATTTTAAAAAAGACTCATACATACATTATGTTTCCATTACAGTTTATCATATTTGTTAACGTTATTGTTGTAACATGTGATTCTTCTGACTTATGATGTTAGATATTTATAATGTGAAAAATAAAAAGAGACATATACTAAATCTAGGAATGTTAATTATAATTCGATATTTTTTAATAATGGTGCATCGCCCCGAAAGCAGAAAAACTAAATTATTTCAGAGGTATATTAATGAAGTACTGTAATTCAGTTCGACTCATATCCCTTCGCTCAATTTTTTCAGCTATTTTTGTCAAATTAATCGCCTTATAAAAAATAGTTACTTTTGTACGTTCCTTGTCAAAACTAACAGTTGCTATAGATTTGTTTTATTCTTATTTAACCGCAAATTTATCGGGGATTTCTATTTACAGAATATAATAATAATATGGATAAATAAGTAAATAAAATCAGATCATCCTTAATGCAGTCGGCTTTCCCATTTTAATAAATGGCCCTTATAAACACACTCCTGAATAGTCTACTGGTGTATAATAAATATATAATTAATATATACGAAAATCTTCGTTACTTGATGCGGTTTTTTCTACTGTATTTGATCTTACTCTTACAGAATGAAAATAAGAGGAAAATGAACTTTTTGCACTTGATCAGGAATAAAGATTTACGCAAGATTACTTTCTTCATGTACATCTTATGGTAAGCACTTTTCATGAGTTTTCGATATATTCGCGTATAAAATAATTTTTCATTTATAAGAGATAATTCTGTGCATTTTTTAAATTTATACAAATAATAAATTGTATAATATCTCTATAATATTGAATGGTAAATTAAGACCTGTATTAACAGAACGGTTTCACTTTACAAAAAATGGAGTGACATAACTCAACCGACTGCCTTCTTTATACTTATCCTAATTATTTAAACATACTACTGAATCTCTTTCACTACTTTCAGGTTAGTAATGATATTTGACCTCTATGCATTATCATTGAATGCAGATATCACAGGAGGAAACGTTTTTCTGTTTTTCCTCATATATTCCTCGTTACAATATTGTGTTTCTGGTGTGTTGAACATTATTTTACCTCGCTTTGAAAGAAGACGTATTTTGATGTTTGCATATCTTTCAGTGGGCATCACTTCGTTGCTGATAACAGCTGTTCCAGACGGTAAACATGTAATCAATATTGTTAACTATTAGTTTAGTTTTACTATAAACAACATGAAATTATAATTTAGAAAGTGTATAATTTTGTTTTGAAACGGCTTAGCATTTATGATCTCATCAGGAATCTGATAATTACGGTCTTTTTAAAACAGATCTTATATGGCTGAGGGTTGCCTTCGTAGTGTTAAGCAGATGCTTCACGACTATTGCAATAAGTACAATATATGGATATACTTTAGAATTGTACCCGACTGTAGTTCGTAACGTGGGTATCGGATCGTGTTCTACATTTGCCAGAATCGGAGCGATCGCTGCACCTTTTATGAAAGATCTTGTAGGACTTCACACTCGTATTTAACATTGATTAACTTATTTATACTACTTTACAATATAATGTTATTGTATTTGCACAGAGTGAAAAGGTGTACTGGAGCGTTCCCTTTATTATAGTAGGTGTATTGACTCTTTCGTCTGGTTTGTGCATTTTGCCTTTACCCGAGACCAAAAATATTCGTTTGCATGATATTATTGTCAAGTAAGAAATTATTACAGAATTTTTTAGAAAATAATTACATTTTATAATATTATTCTCACTTAATCGACTCACGTAATATGTTGTTAAATTTTTGCAGTAACACAGCAGAAAATGAAGAGGAATAAAAAAAACATGGAAAAGAAGAATGAAATTAATTACTACTTCAAAATGAGGAAATCACTTAATGTTAAAAACATAATTATTATATATTTTTAATTATAATTGCACGGAAAAGTCTTTCTTTTACATGGAAAAGTTTTTTATTTATGGCGAGAAGAAATAAATTAGTGTTATTTAATGAATATATATTTTAGTGGCCAGTAGGTTTGCCAGGTAGGACTTTTTATATAAAACAAGATTTAAATGTTGTGACGTAGATTTATTTTAAAATATATTTCAAATATGGTATTGTATTGTATGTTACAAAAATAAAATGCATGTAAACGATTTTTTGTTATTAAAAAGTAATGTAAATGGGCGAATAAATTCAAATATTTTTTAAAATTTTATATTATCCAAAAAGACAATTCAAAAACGTTGTTTACGAGTTTTGAAAACGTGGGTTCGAGTTGGAGCGAGGAACTTCAAGAATTATGCGTAGATGAAGTGTTCCGAATAAATCAGACTTTGTTTCTCCCTCTCCATACGGCTTTCCCTATATTGGATTTGACCAAACTAATAATGATGGGTACAAAGATACGTTTAAGGGTACAAAGTTGATCATTTCCCATAGAAAATGGTCATCTTTGTACCCATTAGACGTATCTTCTGCCCCAACAGACAATAATTGTAGGAATTTGAACCTTTATATTTTACCGTTTAGGGAATTTCCCAAAATACAAAGTATCGGTAATAAAAATTATTTTATAAATACATTAATTATATTGGATCGCATGTATTAGGCATTTTAATATGCTATTATTTATGCTAAATATAGTGTTTTTTAATTACAATACACTCATTAGCTAAAGAATAATCTTTAAATATTGATAGAATTGTTCGATTACTACAAAATGGGGCATGCAACTATGTGTCAAACAAATATATAAATGGCTAGAATTGTGGATTGATTGTAGGCTAGATCAGTGTATCGCAACCGGTGTGCCGTCACAAGCTGAAAGGTGTGACGTGAACTTTTACATATTCTATTAATTATGAAGTTTTATTTATATATTTTTATAACAGTTGCTTTGTTTCTTATGTTTGTGTTTCATTCTCTGACGCGGGCACTGGTGAAATATGATTATGTTTGTTTACTCTTTATTACAAGCCACGCATTTTTATGTATTCTAAGAAATTACCGGTAAATATAAAATAAATTTGCTCACAGGTGTTTTGCTACTCTTGCCAATTGTTCTGTGTTCGTGCTTTCCCAAAAGTGCTGGGATTAGTCCAGTCTTTTACTACTTTATTTTGGTACTTGTCCCTGTTTGTTAGTGCTTCCTAAACTTTATTACATTCCTACACCGATTCACCTGCTTCAGAGATGCAGTGGAGGTAATAATGCCTGCTTCATCTTTATTTTTATATTTATTTACTTCCGATACCGCCAGAGCATAATTGGGTTAAATAGAGATATATCAAAGCACAGGTAAATACATACATAATATCAGAAAGATAACGTACAAACAGTATGACAATAGAGAAGAAGTATGAACAGATGGTGAGATGACCGATACAAATCTACCGATATGATCCATAATTTGAGAGTGGAATAACATGTACAGTACAGTAGTATAAAATAGACAATACCAATAGTAATAATAAACATTACACAGATATATGTTGCAGCAGAACAATAATGATATGTATGATAATGTGGAGGGAGCAAATGAAAATAGTGTCCGATGACAAACTTGACCAACTTTATGAATGACGGAGCGTATGTGATACTTAAGAATCAATTTTTTAAATGCTTTGTAGGTGTCACTATCCTTAAGAAGGACATGAAGTTCACAAGGCCAATTAATACCCCTGTGGTTAAAAGCAAGGGCAAGCTCATGCCCAGCATCCTCGGTCATTGGACACGTGTATATATATAGTGCTCAACCCCATCACGGCAATTACAGATGATACAGATGTCCGTTGAAGATTTGCCAAACCTTTGTAAGTAGGCACGGAATCTCCCATGCCCAGTAAAGAATAGGGCGGTTTCAAAGTCCGGACTAACCCAGTTAATGCCTGCTGGTGAAAAGATTTTGAAAATAGTCCTGGGTTCAGAAGCTGCTAGTGAAATATCAAAAATTTCTCTTTCTGATGGCACAATCAATCGCCGAGTTATTGAGATGTCCAGTGACATTGAAGACATTATGAAGGAGAAAATCAACAGCAGTCGAAAGTTCTCACTTGAGATCGACGAGTCCACCGATATTAGCGGCCACGCACAACTTCTTGCTTATATTCGGTACATCGATGGTAATGTAATCTCAACTAATTTTATTTTTTTTTGCAAACAACTTCCCGAGCGAGCAACCGGTGAAAGAAATATTTCGTGTAACTAACGAATATGTGCTCCAAAATGAATTAAAATGGAAGGACTGTGTTAGTGTTTGTACAGACGGAGCCGCAGCTATGACAGGCCGAGTGAAAGGATTTGTAGCTCAAGTACGTGAAATTAATCCTAACATACGATGTTAGGATTGTCTTATTCACCGCGAAGCCATTGTTGCTAAATCTTTGCCATCTCTGAAAGTTGTGCTGGACGAAGTAGTAAAAATCGTAAACCTTGTCAAATCGCGACCCCTAAATTCACGGCTATCTTCCGTTTTGTGTCAGGAAATGGAATCAGAACACACCACTCCTGTTACATACAGAGGTACAGTGGTTATCAAGAGGAAAAGTGTTAATGCGAATATTGGAACTTAAAGACGAGGTACGTGCATTTTTGACTGTCGAGGAGCATGAGTACGCGGATTTACTTGCAGACGATGAATGGGTATGTAAGTTGGCCAATCTTTCTGATATTTTCGTACAATTGAACGAGCTAAACAGAAAAATGCAAGATAGAAACGAAAATATTCTTACTTCTATGGATAAGATTCAAGGATTTGTGAATAAGTTAAATTTGTGGATACAGGGAATTGAAAATGGTTCGTTTGAAATGTTCTCGACTGTACGGTCACTTGCTTCCGGTAATAAAGTGATGATGGATCTAATTAAACAACATTTACAAATCCTGCAGTAGAGTATTTCGGAGACAGTGTTAAAGATATCGACTGGGTTCGTAATCCATTCGTGCGATTTCAGAATCTCTACCTATTCATTTACAAGAGGAACTCGCGGAATTAAAAGCAGACAGAACATTGAAATTACAACTCCTCGAAGTACCTTTGGATACATTTTGGTTGGCAATAAGGAGTGAATACCCGGCTATCTCCGAGATGGCAGTTAATATGTTATTGCCATTTTCAATTACGTATTTGTGTGAACTGGGCTTCTCGACGTTGAATGAAATTAAAGCATCAAAGAGGGAGAGGCACAGATCCGTCGATGAAGAAATGAAACTAACATTGTCAACGATTCCACCACGGATCAGCCGTCTGTACAGTGAATTAAAGTTCATAAATTTTAATAAACGCACGAATTGATGTCTCTTTAATAATAATAAAAATAATAGATTAGTGGCATAACGTAATTCTATTAGCAATATAATTAATATATATGTTTTTAAGGGGAATAAAATTTTGGTGTGCCGTGTTGAGTCGTGTCGAGTTATAGGTGTGTCGCGAGCAGAAAAACGTTGAGAAACACTGGGATAAATAACACCACTAAATACTGGTACTGGGGCCTCACCAACTAAAATTCCTCAATAACTCGTTTGTATTGATTGAACGCATTTCAATTGTGGATCAAATTTAGTTACTCTTAGGCCGAACTATTAGAATAGAAATATGCACACACAAAGAATGTTCGGTTAAGCTTTTAAGTAATATTTCGTCTATTTCGACAGGGTTTTATTTACGTCCCCCATTCTCTAATCGCTTAATTATTTAACTACTTCTTAAGTAGAAATAAGTCGAAACCGGTTACTTTGTACTCGAATATTTGTAGTCTCGGGAAAAAGTGGAAAGACAAACTTTTATGACAACGGATACATAAATCGTAAATTTAAGGAAAATAAATTCTAGAGCTTTTTCTCTACCTCGTGCATCTCTCTCATTCATTAAATTTAGTTGTAAATGACACTGCCAAAGTAACAGTTAATTTTTTAACATTGTACGAGAATTGTACACGTTTTTTTCTACATTTCGTTAAAGATGAAATATACGAAATCGTAATATCACTGGTTTAACATTGAAATCCGTAATATAAGATGGGAGAGCGGAATAAAAGCAAAATTAATATATCAAATATTTTAACGGGTTTTTTAAAACTCCTGTCAACTATATAGAACTATCATAAAAACGTACCAGTAAATTCTTATCGGTTGGGTTAAGTTATAAATCTACTCGTGATTTACGTAATCGAGCGAGGGCGGCCAAAGCCATCTAGCGGGAAGGCGGCTAACAGCCCACAACTGGATGCCCTGGATAGAATTGAATGCAGTATACGTGTAGCATCCACCCGAGGTTTTCCTAGGTTTCCACCGGCTAAAGCGGGTGAGGTTGGTGCTCTGTAAAGTGAGTGCGCGAATCTGCCTTTTTGGATGACGACGATACAGCGCTTCCACTCCGCCACTAATATTCGAATATACAATAACGATCTTATCTTTTTTTCGCGTGTAGTATGGAAATTTGTAAGAAGATACATAATGCGGTTATAATAAAATATTGCGCGATTATTTTCATATAATTAAAATTAATATGTTCTTATTTTTTAGAAAATACAAGGAAAGCGGCGTATNGTACCTCGTGCATCTCTCTCATTCATTAAATTTAGTTGTAAATGATGCTGTCAAAGTAACAGTTAATTTTTTAACATTGTACAAGAATTGTACACGTTTTTTTCTACATCCCCTTAAAGATAGGATATACGAAATCCGTGATATGGTTTAACATTGAAATCCGTGAGTAATATAAAATCGGAGAGCGGAATAAAAATATCAAATATTTTAATGGATTTTTTAAAACTCCTGTCAACTATACAGAACTATCATAAAAACATAGCAGTCAATTCTTATCGGTTGGGTTAACTTATAAATCTACTCGTAATTCGCGTAATCGGGCGAGGGTAGCCAAATATCTAGCAGGCGGGCGGCTAACGGCCCGGAACCGGTCCCGGATAGAATCGGATGCGTTATACGTGTAGCAGCCACCCGAGGTCGTAGGCTTCCACCGGCTAAACCGGGTGAGGTTGGTGCTCTGTAAAGCGCGTACACGAATCTGGCGTTTTGGATACTGATAATACAGCGTTTCCACTCCGCTACTCCACCACTTATATTCGAATATACAATAGCAATCTTATCTTTATTTTCACGTGTAGTATAG